AAAAAGGCATTATGTTTGCTGCATCATTTTTTTCTTCAAATATTTTCCCGAAAATATGTATCACATAGAGCACCTAGGTTTGTTGGCCGTGCGATCATGCATGGAAAATAGTGAGCTACAAGATTTGCAACTAAAGTTATCTACCCTCCTGCAGGTGATTAGCATCATGACCGTAACCATGAACACTTAAGGTGTGGTAGTTCGACAGGACGCCTGCAAGCAGCGTTACTCACACCATGAAAGACAGGAGCAGATAGCTACCTTGCTTTGTGGTAGGATGAGAACCAGATAATGGGTAGCTTATGTATCTAACTGTTCATGGGCGGTCGCCCACACAGGTGATCGAGATTCACTGTTGTGTCTAAATGTCTTGGTCTTGAATGCGATGCCTCATAATCGCACCAGGCGTCGCCAGCCCATGTGGTGCGCACATCTCGCATCCATTCAGGTCAATAGCATCATCTACCAAAATGGTGTTTTACCGTTTTCTCTTACGTGGTAGTCAGCGGGAAGCGGGCAATTCAATTTAGGATAGAGGGCGTGTTTAAATCGATTTACGTCTGTTAATGAAGATTTCTTTGGTCTTGTACTTGTCTCATTCGAAGAACGATACCTTACCGCCAGCAACGGTCCGCGAGCGAAACAAAAGCGCGGCGCGGCAAAACTAATGCATCATTCCTTGCGGAGCAGTCACTAGCGCCGCGCTAGCTTCTAATTAATCTGCCTGCCTCGTGGCGGTTCTATTAATTTAAAGGACCCACACATGCTATGTGTGCCAGCAGGATACCTTACGTCTCCCACACGGTAACGAGAGAGGGCGGCTGGCGCGGGAGGGCTCCGCCGTGGGGCAGTACGTTCGCGGGTGTGACACGCTTATGTGCGCCAGACGGGGGTGCGGTTTGCTCGGTTTTTGTATGGGATTGGTTTGCTGTACTTCCCACACACCTCCGGCACAATTACACGACACCCGGTTGTAGCACTTGAACCTGCCGGAATTGCAGTACGTCGACCATGTAATTTCGGCGTGATGGTCCATCGGCTCATTTGGCACCCCACTTTGGCACTAATGCGCATCCTCTTGTTACCCACCGTGGGTGGTACAATCAAGTCATTTCGTCATTGAAAAAGTAAGTGATCACCGCACAGCTTTGTCTAGGATAATTTTGGCACACCATGGCGCATGTTGCAACATACGATACAACGTGGCTGATCTATTTTTTCTATCTAATGCATCCCCAGACACTACGATGCAGACAATAAAGGGGAGCCTGAGTTAATGCAATTCATGACTAAAACGCAACGCGCGCGTAACATACTGCGATACAGAAAATACAACAACGTCCGTGTTAAAAGAGCTTATGACATAAACGCAGATCCCCTACCAAAATATTCTGTGCAGCATAAGGGAGCTGGCAGAAATCACTGCATATCTACTGAGGTTTCCGTGCGGATGGCGCGCGTTGCTAGTGGGTCCTTGACCGATTGAGTAAGAAGAGAGAGTAGCACACGACAAAAACTATGTAGTTAACTTCTCTGTTAAGAGCTTACGAAATGTCGAGATGGGTAGTTTCAATGAACTAAATGTAATCATTTATTTTCCAGACATCATTTCCTCATCGGCATGCCATGCAAGGAATTACATTACATACCAGCCATGCATGGTTCTAAGCTGCGCCATGCAATGTCATTACGCCCGAGACTGAGCGAACATGTGAGGCCGCCACCCGGGTTATTCTTGTGCGGAAATAAATAATATTTGTCGTCGCGTCAGCCTTTCTCAGCGCGCTCCGGCCGAAACAATGGGCAATTTTTGGTCCAAGTCAACAAAAGCAATTGTGCTTCAGGCGCACATGAATGTGAACAAAACAATGCATTGGTCCGCAAGGTAATCGAGTTCCAATGTGTTGGCAGTTGATTTCAGTTCATCCATTTGAAAGATAAACCCTGACACACATGCTTTAAACAAAGAGCATTCATCGTTGTTAAATGGCGGACAAAACGACTGAAGGCGTTACGGCAGTCACTGAGCTGGTGCATAAGCAGGAAACAGCACGAGTGATTCATAGTAAAGCCCACAATACGAGCATGATGCAAACGATAGGCATGGTTCCATCTGGCGCAACAATATGTGATACTCCGATGCGTTCTCGTATAAGCCATTCGTTGTCCCTAGATTCCAATATTGTGTAGAGACTTTTTGCAATAAGTTTTAGCGCAAGAGGGTCTTTGTGTATTAAGTTTCTTAAGAACACACAGTACACACGAGCACCGTCATCATTGGCGGCGCCCTTGCAGGAGAGGACTTGAACAATGACATGCTGTCAGGAAGTCCGCCGAAATGTGCGCACACAGTGGTCATATTCCGAACACCTGGGCCCGCTGGTCAATGGGCTGTTACGATCATCCATGGCGAGGTCGTGCCCTTGTGGTGGATCACCGGGCCTAAACGCATATCATGTTCGTGAGCCCACTAGCCGCGGACGTACTGAATGGACGGATGACAACTCTCTAGTATCTGCTTAATTATCCTCACTTTACATTACACATTTTACATAATCGGAAATTTATACTTACGTTTGATTGAGATTGTAAACAACTTTAACGTCAACTTGATAACGAAAAGTTAATGCGTTCTGAATTACTCCTACTAGTACATATTTATCTAAAGTGGCAGAGTCATCCGAGTAAAATCGTGCATCCTGTCTTCCTGACAGCCACGGCAATGACGAGACCATGCTCCACGATCAGCCTTGCATGTCACCTTCTGGCTGCCGGTGCAGTCACTCCCAGCCGATAGCACCTGTATGACTTATACATGTGTCGCACAGCCAGTCGGCGCAGTAACGCTTCTCTGCTCGGTTCTTTATGCTCCTTGAATAAAGATGTAGAGATGCCAATACTGCAGTAATGCCAGTGATACAGTGCTGGTGGATGCCGGCTTTCCAACTGACGGTTCGACGCACTTGCACATAATGCTGATTTCTTCACTGCAACAACTTGTTATCAATCGTCCAGGATGTACGAGGAGACCACGAGATTCAAGTCACGTGGTGGCATCGCGAGCTGAATGATTTCCATCCTCGCGCAGCTTTCAAGCTGTTTTACTGCCTTTTGGTTTCCCAGTGCTTCCCATGTATCCGCTCAACAGTCTTTCAGCTACTAACCAGGGCGATTACATGAAGACAGTCCCGAAAATATGTGCTAGCTAGTTGGGAGAATATAACGGGCACTCCCAGCACCTATCGGGGATGAACATACCAAACCCCACTGGTCAGAGACAATAGCATTCTGGTTATATTCGAGACAGTGTCATCCAATGTTCTATCCTTCTCCACTGGCTACCGTGGGTGAACATGATAATAGTCGGTAGCTAGCGGTCACAGTGACTACGTGCCAAAGACTGTGCCTGGGATAAATCGCAATGCGGGTTTATCTGCCATACACTAATTGTCCAACGAAGAAGGTTGGAAAACGCGCATTTTACCACAAATATCGGAGCCGAGTCCCACGTTAAGGGAAGGTGTAGGACATACTTCCTAGCATCCCGATCTCACACTCGGTTCTATACATGCATTATCCCAGAAGATGCTACCATGGCTAACTGCTGAGTTCAGGAAGCCCACGTACTGACTCTAGCGGAAGCACGTTCCACACGTAGCTGCTGTAACCAGCTGTTTAAGCGCGGCGATTTGGCCGGCCGACTGCGCCGGCGCGAGGTGCCGACTTCAACTCTGCAGCGCCTCTACCACTAGGATATGAGCAAAGCCGCGTAGCAGTCACCGGCTCGACTCGTGACATGACGCATGTCCGGTGTACGGATTCCGGTTGTGGATACAGGCTTGGCTGCTCCAGTAAGCTATGCCGAAGCCCAGCCTCCAGTGCACCATGCCGAGGCCGAACCCTCGGTACGTCATGCCGAGACCGAGCCATCAATACACCATGCCGAGGCCGAGCCCTCAGTACGCCATGCTGAGACCGAACCCTCAGTACGCCATGCTAAGACCGAACCCTCAGTACGCCATGCCGAGGCCGAGCCCTCGGTACACCATGCTGAGGCCGAACCCTCAGTACGCCGTGCCGAAGCCGAGTTCCCAGTACACCATGCCGAGGCTGAACCCTCAGCACGCCATGACGAGACCGAGCCCTCAGTACGCCATGCCGAGGCCGAGCCCTCAGTACACCATGCTGAGGCCGAACCCTCAGTACGCCATGCTAAGACCGAACCCTCAGTACGCCGTGCCGAAGCCGAGCCTCCAGTACGCCATGCCGAAGCCGAGCCCCCAGTGCACCATGCTGAGGCGGAGCCTTCAGTACGCCATACCGGGGCCGAGCCTCCAGTGCATCATGCTGGGATCCCGACAAAGTGCAGCAGACATATGGCTAATGCAAATAATGAGGTCTCGGAACAACTTCAGCAGAGTTCGTGGCTTTCACGCCCGTAATTGAAGTGTTGGGTAGCTCCGTGTCATGCCAGGAGCAAGCCTGGCGGTACATGTCCGCCTACTCTCTTGAGACCTGCCCAGAACTCCATGCATTATTGGGGAACACCTGATAATGCCAGACACCGGCTTTAATCAGAGCTGATCTTGTCGCTCAATAAGTCGCGTGCAAGAGCTCCGGGTACACTTGTCACTCGGAGCTCAACACACCACGCTTAACACACCACGCTAAGCGAACCCCGGCGCGGATGAGGCGGCGTCCCACCGTGCGGCGGCCGCCGGGCGGTCGGAGGCGCCGTGCTGGCCGCCGCGGTCGGGTTTCGAGCTGACCGATGGCCGCCGTCAGGTCCGAGAACCGGTGCCGGAGCGGCGCCCGGGCGGCCGGCGCCCGCCGCCCGGGCGCCGCTCCTGCAGCGGACGCGAAGACAGAGGCGACATGACACGCCGTCACGTCACCGTTCAGCGTCACACGCAGACCAGCCGCCGGGACACAGTGGAGCGCGGCGCGGGAGGCGACGTGCTGACGCCGACCGCGAGGCGCCCCTCTCGAGCCCGACTCACCTCCGAGTAGTCCTTCTGCGACATCCCGTCACGGCCACACGCACCGCGAGCCGCGCCACATCAGCCGCACTCGGTCCGCGCCGCGAAACGCCACGGATTCGGTCTCTCACGCCATCGGAGCGCGTCGCGTCCGCCTCCGCAGGCCCTGCGCCATCTTGGTCTGCGGCGCCGCGGCGCAGACGGAGCTGCCGGTGCTGCCCCCTGCACCTGACCGCGCGGCCGGCGGGGCGGCACGTCGGACCGAACAGCCGGCCGGACGTTGGAATGCGGCAGGCGGTGGACGGCCGCATCACGAGATCGCACAGAGCGGCGATCATAATGACTGCAGCACGATAATAGTCCCGGTATGGCGGCGTGTGCAAGAATGAGCACACCATTAGTGTACGGCGCACTCGGCCTTAGCGCCGTTCCGCCTGCGGTGTCGTGTCGAACACGTCCACGCGGCTCGTGTGAACGGGCTCACGGCGTCCGGGAGAAAAGCGGTGGCCGAACGGCGCGGAGCGTGGCGTTGCAGTGTACCACGAGCCGATCGAATGGTGACAATCGTGAGGCTTTTCGAATCCCCGGAGTTAAAGTAAGGTGAAGTGCAAAAGCTGCGCTGACGTAAACCAATTATGTGTGAGGCAGATCGGGGGAGGGCCATTGCTTCCCAGCTCCGTTGAAATTAAAGCGGAGCTCCGTAGGCATAAGAACAATCTGTTTCAACTAAACGCAATCAATCTGTGAGGAAGAACTGGCTTTGCTCGAGCCCTGATTGGCTAATATCTCACCTGCAACCGTGTTCATGACCATTGCACATTTATTCATATATACATATATACAGTCATATCAAATGTATTATCTTATAGGTATTGGATAAAACATAGACATTCTGCTGTTCTCCCGTTTTCTGTTCGTTTCTTCGATGTTTCGCAGACTTCTTTTTAGTGCTTGGAGGCACGTCAAAAACAAGTTCACTGATGTTAAAAATCTGCGATATTTCGGTCATACTTGACGTTTTTCTTGCAGCTTCTTCTCAAAATAATATTTGCTTTTCTGAGATCTTATCATTCTTTAAACAACTAATTTCATATTGCGATCAAGGTTTGAGCATTATAGATCAACCAGAGATGACTCCAGGAAAGCGATTAATTTGCGGTTCACGAAAAAACACGTTAAGGGATTAAGCTTCCAAAGGGTTCTAATAAATTGGCACCCAATGTTCAAATCCATCCACACAATCCACGCAGTCAGAATGTTTGGAAGGTGTTTGAACAAATGCCCGGAATTGTACGAATGTCCACTGAGCACACTGCATGTCCTGCTCACCGTTCTTCGACCATTTCGAGACATCTGATGACGTTTATTAATGCGTGATGCTTATAAATTTCGCGAGCGTCGATTGATAGCTAATAAGCGGAAAGAGTATGGGCACTTTCCTTGTGAACTTTATTAAACAACATATATAGAAATTTGCTATATTGCTTGCACACTACATTAGAAACAGCCAGTAATGGGGCCATGTAAAGTACTCTTGGCACAAACCAGAGAAACCGTACGCGCAAAGGCAACACCACACAATTGAAGTCAAAGCATCTGCAGCAGCGATTCATTTTAGCTCAGCCCGTCGAGCAATATGGTAATGAGTTTTATCGTCTGACCGCCGGCATCCACTACAGCGACAGATCTAATAAGTTAGAGGTGTATATAAGCATAAAGAAGGAACGGGTGAGCCAATACAGCGGGGGATGGCAATCAATATTTAACACACATTCTGGTATCTGCGCGGCGGTAACCTGTCCATCGCTTCATCCTTCTATTGATTACGTCTAATGGCATGTTCACACAGGCGTATCTTCATGCCGGTCAGACGCGAATCCAAAGCAGCCGAGGTCACGTGAGTGAGTGAGCAGTAGTGCATACCCGAGGCTGCTCAAAGTGGGATCCGTGATGGTTTGATCGGTGCACCAGAAGTCGCACGTAATGTCAAAATGTCCGCTCAGATCTTCTTGAAAAACGTCAAACAAAAAAGCTGCAGTTGGTTTATATCTCAGTTCATTCGCAAGTATGGCTATCATAAGTTGCCTGTTCGGTATTCAAGCATCCGCAGGTAAATCACGAGACATGCCTTCTATTTCAGCAGTGTTATTTAGACCTAGCCACATGTGTTTAGGCTGGCCCCTGGGGAGGTTAGTCACACAGTGTGTGTGACCTCCGCTGGCCTCTGATGTGGAATATTTTATGTGAGAGCAAGAAAACTTAGCAGTCTCGGCCGGTTCAATGACGATGTTCGAAAGGCGCGTTTACGGGGTGTACACGGTAAACTGACTCGCAGTAATGGAGCATAGTGCACCAAATACCGTGCAATCACACACACAATATACGTATATATGGATATAGATAAGATGCAGATGTAGATATAGGCATACGTGAGCTGTCTCCGCTGGAAGCGCATCCGGCCCTGCGCGGGCCAGGGTGTGTCCGCCGCGGTATCCGGTCGAGGGCGGCCCGGGAGCGGCAGGTCAGTACAACTGACTACTGAGTACTGAGATGTTTGGCGGTTCGGACCAGGCCGGTTCGGCGACATCTCGGGCGGAAGCCTGAATATATATATATATATATATATATATATATATATATATATGTACATATATATATATATATATATAATATGCGACAGCTAAAAACCAGGTAAACGTCGCCTTGAAATCCGGTATGAATAACGTTGGCTAGCAGCGTTTAAAAATAGTTTTCTTTTCGTTGTGATGAACGCTGATACGCGCTGGAAACATATTTCCTCTCCTCACACTCCACGAGTCATCGAAGCTTTTCAGCTCAACTACTCGTGTTTTGAACAGTTCTTAGCCCAGTACCTTGAACTGGGTATTAGGACCTGCTGAGCTGAATAACCGGAATTTGTGTGATGCTTGTGCAATGATAGTGATGCCCAAAAGATCGTGGCAAATCATTTCCAAGCATCTTAATCAGCATGGGTTAACGCAACCTTTCGGCTTAGCCGCCTGTCTCTCTGGAGCCCCGAGCCGGGTGCCGGTATGCGGGAGCTTGAATTATTATTATGATGCTATGGTTTAAATGGTAGTGTCTGCGCAGATCCGCATAAATTTTTTTGTGTGTGTCATTTCTTGTTTGAACTCTTTGGTCCATAATTGGCGGTTACCATATACTGCCTGGTACATGGAGGGTCGACTATCGACAGCATACTAACTCCGAAAATACACGCCCGGGTGGCGGGTTGAATGCAACATACTCAGGCGGGAGATTGAGGGTTGAGGGAGGGACAATCTGACCCACTTAGACATGCATACTAAAAGAGGTAGTAGGAACACCAGTTTCACAGGGTAGGTAGGGGCTTTTATGAAACAATTTATCACGAATGTTTAGGCCGCTGGATTGCACCAAACAAGGTCAAGCAGATCCCAACGTAAGATCGGTGGCCCAAGTGCCCTCAGACCTTCTCACGCCACCAGCTGTAGGCTAGATGCATGTTTCTGAGCAAAAGGTCACTTGTGTTCAAATCATCTAAGTAATCTCATCTACCTTTTGGAAGGCTAAAATGACCAAAACCCTTCGAGACTATTCTGATATTTGATTTACAGTCAGGCTCAAGAACTAACCGAGATGGCATGCTGCTCCAACCTAAAGGTCAATCGCGGTTATTTCAAGTCAGCAACCTCTCCAGACCTTCATGAGGTGAAACAAAGAAATATGTTTACGTCCTTGTGCTCAAGGAATCGAGGTGAACGTAAATAACGCCTCGCAAATCATTGCTAATCTAGTGAAAAAGCGGTTTGGTTTGGGAATGGATCTGACCTTCCTATATGACCCAGGGCCAATCAAAGTAGTCGTAATCCTAATCTCAACTGCCTTATTGTCTAAGAGACCTCTCAAACTCGTGTGACCTTGTCCAACACTCCGTTGTGATGTTAGTTAAAATAATTCTTAGTATTTGCATCTACTGAGAGTCATGACCGTATTCTAGTCCGGATCGGTGACATCATGCGGTAAGTATGATTCTTGCATACCACAATATCAAATATTCAATTACCTACAGCTACGCAACGTTCAGTGCAGCTTCGCCGCATCGTTCGAAAGTTTCTTGGGAAAACCTGGGGGGTTTAAATTGATCCCTACCTCCACCGGAGCACGCGTGTAACGTTCCCACTTCCCTCATTAACAAAAATAGGTGATAAAAGTGACTTTTGCAACATTTTTGGACTCATAAACAGAGCTTAAGTACTCTGAAATAAGACGCATAGTTGTGCATTTTGTATTGAGGGACATTTTTTAAAAGACAAGTGCATAAATGGCACCAAACATGTGATACACGGAAAATGACACAGAAATACTTCCAAGCTGTAAGATGTGTGGGGTTAGGATTTGAATCACATCACCTGTAAGAGTCTCATTCGCTCACAACTGTCACGGTTTGACCAGGTGTGAGCTTAAGATGGCCTGGCCTTGAAAACTTATCAAGAAATAAAGTATTGTACCGAAAAATGATGCAAAGCTCATAAATAATGATTGAGATAAGTGGTGAGAAATAAATGCCCAGCGATTGCAGGGAGATCTGCACTGAGATAGATCAACTGCTGCACACAAATCGAGCTTTACAGCCATGAACTTATTACAGCTTGAAACGTTTAAGACCAGGACCTTAAATGGAATTTGTCCATAGGCCAGCAGATCAAGACGGACTAGTTAGGTCTGTCACGTGATCGGAAATGGCATTACCAACCGCTAATGGTCTGCTCGGTGGCTGACTAGACATGACACTATATGCAATGATACAATGGGACTTCATCTTCTGTTAGCACAACCACGACTAGCGCATAATGTTTAATCATGTTTCGTCTCATTACAATCACCCGTAGCCTTGTTTTCAAACGAATGGAGGATTTGGTGTTGCTCTCGCTTTCCTGTTTCATCAGAACTTACACCTACAAATTATACATACCAACCGTCACATATCACCAAACCTTAAAGCACTCCGATTACCAGCCGCACACGATTTTCCCAGCCAGAGAGACTGCGCAAGAATGCTCTAGGCTCTGCACAGTGAATACGCCGCAGCCACCATTAATAGTATGTTTGTCCCACTGCCAGATATCGTTGCGTGAAACACGCCAGTTCACTTGACCT